GAGATGATGAATAGCCTTAAATGTGTACAAGAGTATTTTGAAATTGATGCGATATTTGACCAATGAAGCTGCTGCAGGACAGGAGTGATGTGGTGGGCAGAAGGGGTCCTGGTGATGATACGAGCAGCAGAGTTCTGGACGCGTTGGAGCTTGTGGGTGGATTTTTGAGTAAGACCAAAAAGAAGTGAATTACAATAATCAATCTGGGAAGTAACAAGGCTGTGGACAAGAATGGCAGCGGCATGTGGGGTGAGAAAAGGACGGAGACGATTAATGTTGCGCAATTGAAAGTATGCAGACTGAGTAACATTGTTAATGTGTTAAATAACGATTAAAACAGAGCCAGGGCAATGACCAGCTTCTCTGCCAGGTCACTTCGACTTTGGGTTTCAGTCATTACGCAGGACTATACACAGAACTGTGCGACTGTTTTGGAGAGGAGGTGAGGTTAGCGCACTGTCTGTCTGGATACAGACTTCAAAACTTGATGCTTTCAAACACAAAGTGCCTTCTTTAATGAGCTGAAGGAACGGTTAGACCAGTCTGACCTGAGACACAAAGGCAGTGGCTCAAGTCGTGAGGCCTGAGTAAATCTGTAATGGATGCCAGTGTGGCCTTGTAAAAATGGGATGTGGGATGCAATGTGGTCCTGTCTCTTTGAATTTGTTAAAACTCTGGCAGCTGAATTTTCAACAAGCTGGAGGCAGGAAATGGTCTTTTAACTCAGGCTTGTGTACAGAGTATTACAACAGTCCAAAAGTAATGAGAGTATTAAAAATGAATACATTTTATATGATTTCTTAGTTGGAGGAACCATGGCTGTCCTACATTACCGGTGTATAGGTGTAACCTGTGTTAGCTCTGTATCTAAGATCACCCAAACACTGAAAATTCACATTTCACTCGTGATTTTTCTTCTACTCTCAGACATAAGATGCACAGCTTTCAGTTTTCCCTTCCTTCAAATATCTGTTCCATGTAGGTTACTGATGTCTAAGAAATGGGAGCATCTGGTGCAAGATCTAATGAAAACAGTCTCGTCCATTTCAGCAGAAAGAAGATTGGTGCACTCTTTAGTTTTCTGTTTGGTGGCACAGCTGAGCATTAGGCTGCACTGATTCAGATGCCACTGATGAGCAAGTGCCAAACCATTTCCATGCAGACATGCTCCAGGCATTTCTGCATGTCTGCTAACGGGATTTTTGTTAACTCAAACTATTTGTAGGAATTCATAAATTAAGCCAATTATGCCAGATTTGTTTTTTAAATCAAATGTTGCTAACAAAATAACCTATGAAGCAACATTTTTATTTGAAAAAAAAAGATAAACTATTTCAGAGTTCACCATTTCTTTTTT